ATTTAATTGTCCTGAATGTACAACATGACTCCCTAAATAACAAAAATTTACTTACAAAATTAAAAAATTTGACCTATCCGATAATACTTTATAGGTGTTACAAGTTCCTATATAGATTATAATGACAATTATTATAAAATATACCATTCAATTTTATTATAATTTGAAGAGGTAACAATTTTGAACTCAGATTTACCAATTATTTTAGCAAACGATTAAATAATTTGTTATTATATTACATTCAATTTTGTTTATTTTATGATGTAGGGAAATTTATCTTCTACATCTACTAAGTTTATTATAAATTATAATCTAAATATATCAAACTGATAACAGTGTACCTAGTCACAAATAATAATATAATTTAATGTAATTCCAGTATAAACTTCATAATGAAGTCATAAAATATTAATTTGAATGAAAAAAACTATGTAAAAACAATGAAAAATACATGTTATATGTTCAGTGACCTCTACCATGGGATTTTGCATTTGATTGTCCTAAATTAATGTTTTTTCATATTCAACATATTTTTAAGTATTTTTTTTTACTATGATGACCATGCGAGGCGCATGTTAAATTTCTGTCTATGCACAGTATTTAGAGGTGAAAAAGCTGGAAACAATCGCTGCAGTTACCACATGGCATATCAGTTGAGCTCTGAATATACAACATGACTTCCTAGATATCAAAAATTTAAACAGAAGTTTATCTTATTTACATCTTGGTACCTACTTCGTTTATTAATTATTAATTAATTGATGTCACCACTAAAATATATGTAGATATAGCTCCTAAATTATAATCTAAATTTATCAAACTGATAACAGTATAGTCACATGGTTTATTTATTGACCACCAGACTACCTACCAGCTATTATTAATTTGTCAACAGGAATATTAAATTGATTTTTGACTTGCTGTCATGTTTAAACTTTAATTGAACATCTCCGTTATAGTTGTACTTTTAATTTTAAGTTGTTAGTGTTTAAAGCATCTTAGCATTTTCACTAGTTAGGTATTTTTAAGCTCTGGTTGTTTGGGTATTTAACTTGTTGGTGGTAGTTCTCTGTTTCTGCATTTCTGAATAATCAATTATATTGTATTCATAATGGATGAATTCATTAAGTTCTTAAAAAATAATAATATCATTGCGGTACTATCAAATGAAGTTTCTAATATAAATGAAAATACCTCGATTCTTAGAGCCAATATTAATAATGTTAATGAAGTCACCTTACTGTGCTGGCATACGCAATATTTATGAAACATGACTCTGAAAAAAAAAATGTCTTATACATTAATATTAATCAAATAATGAGAACTATTTTTACTTACCTTGATGGATTGTCAAGCTGACCAACACGAATCCAATTAGTTTTCGAAAATTCTTGGTAAAGCATTATGAAATTCTCAACTTCATTAACATTATTAATATTGGCTCTAAGAAAACAACACAAACAACTAAAATATCGTTGCCATGTACGTGAATGTTTCAAAAATCTGCAATTCATATCTGTGTCACATAGTTACCACTTGTCAATATTCATTTTTTGTGTTCATTACGGATAAATTTCATTCCTATACGTATTTCTGTATAATCTTCTCCGTTAATTGTGTCTATATAATATTTTCAAATAAATATGTCATATAGATGTGTATCTATGCCTAACATGGCTGCGATGTGTGAAAATTCCTCAGCCAAATCGACAGATATTGGATGGCGATCAACGCCAAATCTCAAGTTTAACCGTACCAATGATATACGAAGACCGGAACCGTCGAAAAATTGTTATTCCGAGGGTTTTCTGGACGGCAAGTTCTGTGTATCTGAGCCAAACATCCGCATACATCCAAAATTAGCTGGCGAGACAGCTGCAGATATTGGGTGGCGATCAACGCCAAATCTAAAGTTTCAGCAGGTCACCAGTCATGTACGGAAACCGGAAAGTCCGAGACACACACGTCCTCGTCGTTCATTTTGGCGCCAGACCAAGAAATTTGTCAGGCGGTTCCTTTGTTGTTGTGGTTCTGTTGACAATATAGACCAGTAATATGTATATTATAGAGTTTAAAAGGTTTTTAAGCATCCTCTCCTCTCCCACCGTTATCTCACTTTTGTATTCGCTGGTACTATTCTGAAACCGTTTATCATGTCCTCCATTGTCATTTGTACCAAGTTAGTGTAGGTTTGCCTCACGTATTTCATGCACTGTACGTCTGTACCATCGTCGGCTCTTCGCCACCTGTTTTGTTCTGTATTAAATTAATATTATTAATATTATTATGTTACTCATATTAAACGTATTATTATAAAGTATGTACTATGTATTAATACCTATCTATTATATCTACCTCATTCGCTTTGCATAAATATATGTAATAATCCTATATGGTCACGCAGGTGGATATTGTATTGTCATGGATGTCATCGATTTTCATGATAGTAAAAAAATAAAAAAATATCTATACTAGAGTGGTTGACAAATGATTTACTTCACCTTCCGTTTAACCACCCCAAAATCGAGCCATGTACGGGTGCGCATAATATTATATGAGCGATATATTATAAGTCCACGCCTCTCCGTTTCGACTAGTTACGAATTATATTATAGTATTTACCTACTCGCAAACAGCTCGGTGTTATATGCCTGCGGATAATGTTATTTGTTCTGCATCGTGATATGGAAATAACCGAATACACACTGAAATAAACGTGCAACCATGTAGACGTTTCTGCGGCAAACACCGCGCCGTAAGTTTGAGCTTCAGTGGTAGGTAAACATTAATATGTACCTACTGTTAAAAATCGTGAGTAGTACTTAGAAGACGCTCCAGGCGTGTTATTCGCACACTCCACACATAGAGTCGGTATATTATACTGTAATACTATATAGGTGATCCGAGTTCTAATGTTGGACTCGATGGCGTATAATTGTACACCCCAATTTTTTGTATACAATAATATTTATTAAAATTAATATACATATCATCAGCCTAATTCGCAATATTGTCCTAACTCCAAAAATGTGATTTTGGAATTAATTGTGATTAAAATTAAGGAAAGAACTGCATTGTAAGATAAAGTTGTAACTGATAAATTGTAACATTTTATCCTCCATATGACATTGATTATTAGAAATGGTCGTATTTCCGATGTGATGATTTTAACAATTAGAAAAAAATCATAACTCCATATTAGAAAGGTAAAAATTATGAAGATAGGATATTTGCGAATTGAGAGATGAGATAGGAAATTTTCCAATGAAATGTTTTTCCTTTCTCCTGAAAACTAGTCAATATGGAGTTTAGTTAGTACTGTTTATAAATGTTTGTAACATTTTTTTTTTTGTCTTATATTTATATATTTTCAATGATCGTGTAAACCCTACCTACCTCTGACTATGTAGGTAGACATGTATGTATTATTTTTTACCTACCTTAATATTTGTTTACTTAATACTTGCATAACATTTTAAAATGGTTGAATTAGTTTAATTATAAATGTGTAAAAAAATATTATTTATAAACCACTGCTGATATAGGTAGTAATGTAGTGTACCTACAAATATAAAATTGAAAATAATAACAGGGTTTTTCAATCATCGATGAACTAGACTACCAAACTAGACGTCCAAAATTGTTCTTGCACCATTCATGTGAAGTTACAACAATTTCTTTAATTGGATAGTAATTTGGTTAGCTTCAGTAGCTACCATTCCATATATTATTAAAATAATCATTGAACACTAGTTCAATTCGTTCCTCTAAAAATAGTTATGTCTTTATTAAAAATACAATATATATATTAATGTTGGAGCATGAACTTTTAGTAAGGTACCTACCTATTTTAATTAAGAATCTTATGTTTAAGTAAAAATTAAACATTTAAGGAAGATTGGTATTTTGTTTCTATGTTAGGAAGAACCTAGACAATCTTTTTAGCTAACACAAAAGGTGTGTACAAGTACAATACACTTAGTTCAGTAAGAAATGTTCACTCTGAGGTAGGTATAGGTACCTACTAAAGTAAAAAATAAAAATAACTGTGTAGAGATCACATTCTACATTAATTTATTGAATTATAATAACATAATAATATTGTTTAATATTAGTTAGGTACCTTTTCCTACTAAATAGTTATTTTAATTTGTTAAAATTAAATAATATAATATAATATTTAAATTAATATTATATTATTAAATTAAATTAAATTATTAAAATGATAAATGATAAAAAAAAAAGCGGGCAATTTGAAATGGGCCAATGAGAACGTGGTATACATAAGACGCTCAGTGGCGTCCTGGGTTTCCTAATACGCAGCCCGGCCCGGCCCTAAAAATTGTACAAAAAGAAGCCCACGCCTGGTCAGGAATAAAATGCCAAGACTTAAAAAGCCCGGTCCAACCCTTTATTTTATTTCAAAGGCCATGCCCGGTCCAATGTCACTACGGGCCCTTGCAGGTCTTGAATAGTTACTAGCAACTAGCTGAATATTACAAGCCTTCGCCCGTGAATAGTTTTGGCTGATTTGAGAGGGGTTAAGGTGTGAAATAAATAATAAATAGGTTAAAATAAATGTGGTGGTTCATTTTGGATAGTATGAATCTATATTAAATACTTATACAGTTACACAATAAGTAATTATCTTAATATCAACAATCGTAATTAAACATTTTAATACAAACTATGTACTGGTAACTAACGAACGGAGCTGTTCTAAACTCGTTTAGAAACCTAATAATGAGACCTGACATGAAGGAAAAAATATTTTCTAAAGATATTTTTTCAAAAAAAAGAATGTAAAAAAAATTAATCTTAGCACTATAGCGAATAAACCCGATAACAAAAATAAAAAAGGATTTTTTTAAAAATAATTTCTACATTTTTATTACGATTGTAGACCGTAAGACATAATAAGTGGACGATGGACAGATGCTTAAAAATGTAATCAACCTCTAGGCTGAATAGACAAATTAAAAAATATGTTACATTTTCACTTATATATTATTAAGTTTTTCTGTAGTCAGACTTTGAATAAACTTCTTTAAATTTTCTTTCGATTGCAACAAAACTGGATGTTCTTTCATTTGTATTATTGTTATTAAACCAGTAACAAGTAATATTAGTATCTGAAAACAAAAATCCATTTTTTTAATCTTGTTTATTGTATTCAAATAAATTTAAGAATAATTACAGAATTAATAGAAAGCATACTTACCGATACAACAAGATTTAAATTTATATTGAATATTCCACATGCTGTGAGTTCGCTTGATTCAAAAGCTGATATTTGGTTCATAAAAAATTTAACCTAATAACATAGAAATATAATATCATAATAACTTCAATGGTCCTGTACTCCTGTGGCTTGTGTTAGTTAATAAATTAATATCATAATATTATCGTCTTTATTAAAGCTTACACGAATAATTAACACTTACAATGGGGAAGTACAATTTAAGTTATATATAATAAAACTTTTTATTTTATTTACTTGGGTTTTTAGGTTTGCCGATAAATTTGAAATCTTTATTAATCTTAAATATGATATCATCTTCCTTTTCTAAAAATATATGATTAAAACAATTAAAATGTTATAAATTTATATTAAAAATGATAATTACGTAATAAAATATACGTATTTTGGTAAATGTTGTGTAAAATATGTTGTATTTTTGAATATTTGGTGACTTGGTGTAGTTTGGTATAATAATATTGCAATTAATTATCCTAATAGGAACAACAACATTGCCAATTGTCTTTACTCTTTAAAGAAAAACCAGACGAGCAGTGGCGTACGCAGGATTTTTCAATGGGGGGGGGGGGGGGCTTGAAAATTAGTAAGTTTTATTTTGTCCAGTCCAATGATTTTAGACGTTTATTTGAGGTATTATAAATGTTTGTAGCTTTTAAACTTTTCTGGTAGAAAAAATACTCTGATCATAAGCTTCGATGCCCGATGTATGTTTTTGGAAGCAAATTGGATCTAGTTGGTACTTTTAGGAGGTCGAAATTGAAAATGCTCAGTGCTTTTTAAAATAGTAGGAGAAGAAAAATGAAAATTTATTAAAATTGTTTGGCAACCAGCTTGGTTGTATAGCCTCACTTGGATTGTATTTGATTAATTGAAATTTTTTAAAATTAATAAAATAATTAATTTTTATTAATTAAAATTAAAAAAATATTTATCCTGTCAACAAGCTTAAAAATGTAATACGTATTGGTAAGTTTTTATTATAGCTAAAATATTAACGATACATAGGCATCATGGTTATTTTTTATAAGCATTTAAAGTTCAAATTTCTTCAAAGCCACAGTTAATTTGTAGTTAAAACTTATCAAATATTAAATTTGTATAAGCTAAGACTAGAATATTTAATACAAGGTATTTTATACAAGAAGTTCATACTTTTACCGAAAAATTACAGATAACGTTAGGACAATTGGTTGCAAATACAATAATACGGGTAATGGAGGGGGGGGGGGGCTTCAGCCTCAGTTATTTTTATTTAATCAATTTATTTCATATGGTTACATACCTAGGTACTATAACCAATTATATAATATTTGTATTGATATTACCTTTTCATGTACACGTGATGCAGCAATGATAATGGATAGAGTCCATATGACATTTTGTAGGTTTAGTAAGTATGGTATAAATTCTACTAAATAACTGTCAAAATTAAATTCTCTTAGCACATTATTATTAGGAACAATAGAATAATAAAAAGAGAGTATCATATTAATAAAACTGAATACAAAGAATCCTAATAGCATTTTTCCGAAACCTACACTGAATATTCTTAATAAGTCCGATAGTTCAGCGTGGAACAATCGTATGTTATCCAGAGTTATTCTTGTTATGGAATGTGTCAATTCTTCAGGAACGGATAGAAATCCAGGAAGAAGATACTCCCAGGAATCGTTCAACGTTTGGAATCTATACTCCAATTGTTGTAGGAAAAAATATGAGGAAAAAATTACTGTTACGTCCACGATGAAGTCCATTCGAATAAAGTACAAAACGATAGTAGTGATGTCGATAGTCTTCGGTGGCCATAAATACACCATCAGGAATGTATTTGCAATATAATAAATTAACGTGAAAATGAAGATTATGTTCCAATAGTTTTTCTTCGGCATAAGCTGGCGAATCATCAAACACCTTGGGAGTGATGTTAGTTCTTGATCGTACTTGATGACGCCATTCATCAACCTAGGCACAAAAACGTAGTGTGAAAAAAACTGATTACATATTTTGTTTTTTTCTCGTGAAAAACTTGGATATTAAATATTCACTATATTTTATTGAAATAACGTATGTAATATATACATAAAGTTAGTAATTCTCCAAAAATTAAAAATGTCAAGAAAGTGTACATGCTGACCACAACTTGACAAGCGTTTTTTATTTATTTATATTAGTATGATTTTTCCAACTAGTAAAATTATAATGTGTCACGTCATCTTTATTTGTGATATTCTTTTATGTTCTCGAAAAAAATGTTAGGCAGGTGTGCTCCAGTGCCTGTGTCTTAGCTATTGATAATGTGTACATTGTATTTTAATAAATTGATATATTTATATTTATTTATAATTTAAATAATACGATTGGGAACGGTTGTCCCGTTCGTCCAAAAAGTTATTTCAATGTTTGTTTTGCAAGCCCTCCTCCTTAATGTAGAAACAATAAATAAATAACGCCAATCATTGGCAAGAGATTTACACAATACTCATTCTTTGAAAAATCAAAATTATATATTTGGCAGCAATATAACCCCCCCAACAAAGTAAACATCAAGATTTTTAAAATTTTTTTTTTTTAATATTTAGTACGTTATGCCATGCATTTTCATTATTATTCCGAAATTCACACGATAATCCTTCCACCGACAAAATAAAAATCGGGGCTTAAAGATATTCGCTTTCAAATTATTGCATTCTACATATTATTATTATATGGAAAACATTAAATTAAAAAATAATATTTGTCTTATTATTAAATTCAAATTTAACATAACTATAAAAAAGTTACCTACTCATCGTACTATAATATTATAACGAGGTACCTATACACACAACAATTTAAAATTTAATTTTTTTGTAACTTTATTTATTATTAAGAATAATATTATTTATCTTACTGTATAATCCATGTTTCTGATATTCTTGATGCAATAATGACGGACCATAATTTAAATAAAAATATTTTTTGAGTAAAATAAGTATTCGTGTGTACAGAGTACGTACATAATATTAACATGAACATCCGTGAAATTTCAAGAAATTTATATATTGAGTCTGTACTTTGGATTAATAATCCATCTGATTCTAATATGTAAGCTATGTTAATTATGCCAACAAACTTGCACAAGTATAAAATGGTCCTTAAAGTTGTTTTATAAACAAACGTCATTTTAAGGGAATTTTATTTTTGATACTAAATATTAAAACGAAATATTTAATACTCAGAAACAAATATTTGTTATTGTCATGCAATTGATTTTGTAATCAAAATGATTGAAATAATCGAGAAATAAACTATTACAACTATTTCACGGGGAATTATTATTTATTTAGGTAGGTCAATAAATGTTATTATAATTGTCACAGTCAACAATCCAAATGGGCGGATAGGTAATTTTTGCTGCGCAATTGAATTGGCTCCCCAATACAATTAGTCAATATTTTACCCTTTGAATTGGCTCCCGAGAATTTACTATTAAATTGGCTCCATATTGTTTTTTTTCAAACATATATTGGTTACCAAAATGTTGTTTATATTTTAAAGTTAGACGTTATTTCCTACAGTAGTTGACGTCGATTCTTAATTTACCTAATACGCAAATACGCAATCAAATAAAAAAAGGTGCTCTGCTGTACAGTAGGTTACAAGTAGGTCACTGTATAATGGATGATATTAAATTTGAATTCAATGATATAATATCATTGTATAAGAAAAACGATTCTGAGCGGAGACGGTATGTCAGTCTAGGTATAAGTAGTGTTTGAAGTATGAGAAATATTTCATGAAATATTTCAAATGAAATATTTCATTTTGAAATATTTCACTAAGTTGTGAAATATTTCACAAAAACGTGAAACATTGAAATTTTTTTAACACAAATAAAAACACAATTTATTTATTTTTTTAACACAATGTTCAGTGTTCTAAATTCTAATGTCAGAATTCAGTACGTATACAATATACATGTATAATATTGTATACCTACTTGTATCATTTAAACATTAAAATATTTAAAAATTTTGAATACCAATTTAAATGTATAATACCAAAGGTTAGGTATACATACAGGTACCATATAGTGATGAAGGTAATTTATGACAATTATATGTAAATATAAAACTTATTTAAAAATAAAACAAAATATATTAAAATACTGAAATATTTCACATATTTTGAAATATTTCATTTTTTTAAATTTCATGAAATTTTCAAACACTAGGTATAAGGCATATTATATACTTCTCTATATGGTATTAAAAAAATTGACCTATTATAGGTACCTATAATAAATTCCAAATTAATCATATAACAATATCCATTAGGTACTTATAACGCGTTATACATCCACAACATACCGTAATACTATCATATATATATAATAGTGTACTTTAGAAATTTCAAGTATAATGACTATAAAAATAAACTGTGCTTATGATATAAAAGTTGACCATTTTATAAATTTTCAACTACAAAATAATTATTCAATTTTAAATTTAATAAATTTTGTCAAAATTCGATCTTTAAATGTTTATAAAAAAAAATTGTGCCAATGTATTTTTAATATTTTTAAACTGATATTGTAACAATATATGAGGATCCTTGTATTAAATTTTTACACTTTTTGGCCCAACAGATAAAACTTTATTGATATTTATAGAATAAAAAACTAAAAAAAATGTAAAATGAAAATGTGCCTAAACATTTCAAAATAAATCAAAACATTTTGAAAATTGTATGTTGTATCGGAAATCCTAATATTCAGTGAAATTTTCATATATCTACAGTTATTCGTTTTTGAATTACAACAATATAAGGAAATCGCTACATGAGGAATCGAGTGAATATTCAATGTTGTAAAAATTTGAATTTCAAACGATCATAAAAATTTAATTTGACTTTCTTATAGACATTTTTTTTTGATAAAGGTAGATATATTTATAAGGAATCTTGTATTCAATTTTAAAATCTTAGATTTAAAATGAAAAATTTTTACGAATTCTTAACTCAAAATAATTTGCTAATTTTCGTGATTTTTCCATATTTTGTCAATTTTTGAACTTTAAATGCTTATAAAAAAAAAAACCATGACTAGGATTTTCAATATTTTTCATCTGCCTTTGAAACGATATACTATTAGCCTTCTATTTAATTTTCAAATATTTTTACTCAACAAATAAAATTGTATTGATATTCATTAAAAAAAGAACTAATAAAATTGGAAACTGAAAATGTCTCTAAACAGTTCAAAATAAATCAAAATATTTTGAAAATGTTATCGTGTATAGAAAATGCAAATATAAACAGCCAGGGAAAATTTCATGTCGGTCATTTGTTTTAAAGTTACACTAAAAACCAAATTCAATTTTGTGAAAAATCGATTTTACGTAAAAATTCCTGTTTTTCCTTAATTTTTCTTTTGTTTTTCTTGGCGCTTTTGAAAATTACTGTGAATTTTAAATTTTGACCTCCCCAATGCATCAACTATATTCACTTTCCAATCGAACAAAATACTGATGTTGAAAATCAAAGCATTATTTCAAGTATTTTCAACTACTTATTGTGTACATAGACACAAATAAAAAAAAAGTTAAAAAAATTTAAAAAAAACACACATCATTGTAAAATCAATACATTCATCGTTCCACTCAGAATCTAAAAAATGTGTTACATTTTTATATCATTGTATACGTAAGTTGTGATCTAATAAATTTAAAAAAAAAATTTTTATAATTTAAATATCAGTGAATTATATATGTTTACTTACTGATGTAACAAGATTGAAATTTATACTGAATTTTACAAAAGCTGTAATTTCGCATGATTCAAAAGCTGATATTTGGTTCAAAAACAATTTATCCTAACATAAAAACAAAGAATTATTATATTTAAATAACATCAATGGTTTTGTGACTTGCATTATTAAATAATAACTAACATATTGTATTTATTTCACTCATCATTAACACTTTATAGTATATTATTATTTACTTGAAGTTTAAGGTTTGCCCATAAATTTGAAATTCTTAATAATGAAATAGTGAAATCATCTTCCGTTTCTATAAGTATATATTAATAAAAAGTTACAATAATGTCATTATTTCATGTTGAATTTATCCATCTTGTGTTAAAAAAGTTTGTTTTTTTTTCAATGTTTAATAGTTTTAGTGAGATTAGACTTTTTGTATATTAATAATATTATAGGTACTAAAAATGTCTACCAAAAATTAATAAACTCTAAGTTAGATATCACAAAGGAAACATATCACTTTAATTTTATCATTAATTTAAAAACCTGTTTTATTTAAGAAGGACTCCTGTACTTGTGAGTAGTTCCTTATATATTCCTAGGGATTTCTGTAGTAATTACCTATTTTAAAAATATTAAACATTTATAATGAATAAAACACACTTTCAACTCAGTTGCTCCAAAATCAATCAATTAATATTAGTTATACCTTTTATGGTTATGTATTTTTCTTAGACATTTCATTAAAAAAACATTATATTCTTAATTAAGTGTAGAAATGTGTTGAAGAATAAAGTATGACACTATCAAAAAATTTGATTCAGGCAGTCAGCACCTTGTGGAAAATTAATGTGATCTTTATTATTGAACCTCTAAGAGAAGAGCCATTTAAGAAAATGAAATCAAAACAGAATTATATTTATGTTAAACTATGAGGTTATAAATTATAATTAATAAATTAACTTAAATATATATTATAAATATATTCTAATAATCAAATATTTATATTAATGTTACCTTTTCATGTACGCGTGATGCAGCAATGGAAATGAATAGAATAAATATTACATTTTGAAAGCTGAAAATATGTGGTATTACATTTCTTAGAAAATTTATAAAAAGGAATTCTCGTCTTAAATTATAATTAAAATGAAGAGAATAAAAACAACAAATTAGGATATTAATATAGCTAAATACAAAGAATGCTAAAAGTATTTG